AATAATGTTTGACCCAAAATTAAACTAACTTTTAGCAATGTATTCTGGACATGTGCTTCATAATATTAAATTCGGCCAAATTTTTTTTAGCTAATTTTATTTAGCTAGGATAGGGGTGTAATAAAAACATTTCCTTTGCTTCTTTCCCTAATTATTGTTTATTTTTATTTTTTAAAAACTTAACCTTTCCTTTTTACTTGAAGTGTACGAAATTTGTTATAAATCATGATTTCAGACTTGTAAGGTATTCATTCTTAAATAGTTTGTTAATTGTTAGACCACCTATTTTTAGCTAACTCCGAAAAGACTAGCAAAATAAAATGATATATCCATCGGTTTATTTAGGGAAGACATTTGATATGACCATCTTAAATTTTTTGAAATATGTATTTTAACTAATAAATGAAATTTTATGAATAAAATTTATAAATATTATGTAATTTATTTCTTTGACCCCCCCCCCCCCCAATTTCACAAAAGATAAATAAATACGCCCTACTCTTAAAGCTTAAAATCATCAGAAAGAGAAATTATATATTATTAATTTGATCCTAATTAGGTAAAAGGTTCTATTCTGTTTCTCTGTAAATTTTACATGGTTTTTCGCTTGGCTCTTTTATTATCATTCATTTATTCCCTAGTATTTAGTTGAGTTGCGCGAAATGAAAAATATGTTCTACAAATTTTAAAGCCCATATATTGCATATTTTCTAAAATAAGATCTAAAGCCCCAACCATTCAGAAAAATTTTTGAAATTTTTTTTAAAAATAGATTGGTAAAATGCAATCTTCAAAAGATGAGTAGGTGACAAGAGATTTTTTGGTCCAACGACCTTTAAATTTTTTAAAAAATATTTAGGTTAATATAATAGATTTTGGCAGGAAATTTATTCATTGTTTTTTATCCTGATCCTTGATATGTTTATTTTAACTAAGTTTTTTTTAATAGCTTTAGTTCGCTATAAATATTTTAAGTTTAACTTTATTGGTCGTAAGGGTTTTATACTTTATGACTCTAGGCCAGACCACTATAAAAAATGAATACTAATTTTTTGTATGTTGACCAGAGACCTGCAGAGGTACTATTTACACAACCCGCCTATATTTAAAAAAATTAAAAAACTACCCTGAAACACAGGCTGAGCCTGCAGATCTCTGATGTGGACTAATAGGGATTTCCCCCCCCCCCTATTGCGATTTCAATGATCCAATTGCTTCGCACCCAGTACTGTTACAACACTATTCATACCCTCTTGATGTGACGGCACTGGAAGCGATCTCTAAACCCGACTAATGAATAGAGTCAAGTGATTTGATATTATGCTCGCATCTATGTATTGTTTTTACAATTTTAAATCCATCTTTTGAGCACGTTTTTCAAAATTGAAAAACTCTGATTTTGCCAGAAATATATTCTATCATGTTTTGGAATACCTATCTTATGAGTTGTAGACATTTTTGCTGTTTACCTTTTAGTCATTTATAATTTATATAAAAAAATATATGGAAAATTTAATATAAATTATATTAAGTTTAAAAGTTCATAGAAATTTGTCTGAAATTCATAGCGGTAGGTATTCCAAACATGACGGTATACATTTCGGTAAAATTAGATTTTTTAATTTTTATAAACGCGCTCAAAAAATAATTTAAGACAAAACACAACATATATATTTATATAAAATGGACGATAATATGCTTAAATGATACTTTTCATATATTACAAATTTAAAATAAAAAAAATAAAAATAGTACATAATACACTAATACCCTTATATCGTTTTTAAAAAAAAAACCCAGCCTAGCTAGACTGGGACTAAAAATTATATATAATTAAATGTAAGCTTTTATTATTATTTTTTTTTAAACATGATTTCTATTGCAATTTAAAATTTTTAACCTACGTATTTTTTCCAAGTAAATTATTACGTCAATTGATTAATTAAATGGTTTTTTTTTTAGATTTTAAAATTAAGTTTGATATAGTATGTAAGATTAAAATCAGGAATGCTCGTAACTGGGATTTTTTAAAATAATATAGTGGATGAACACATCTTGAATTAACCCTGCACTGCAATAGGAATTTAGAAATCCGCTCCACCCGCTAACTGGGCCTTAAATTTTGACGCCGGTAAATCTGGGAAATGTTTGTAGACCGAATGTTTTAATCCAAAATTATAGTTTTCACTTAAAAATGTGATTGGTCGGAGGGTGATTACCAAATCCGGCTGATATTTTTAAAATTAATTTATTTTAGAATAATTAAACTAATAGAAGGATAGGCTCTTTTTTTATAGCAAAACTAACACCCGAGAAATTGGTCGTTTGGTGATGATTATGAAAAAAAATATATACATTTAATTAAACTAATAAATATATTGTTATAAAATTATACAGAGTAGTTTTAAATTTTAATGTATAAAATATATAATATGCACGCGCACCTTATTAATTTATTTTAAATTTGGAAATTATTCGGAATTGTTACTATTAGCAGGCAAACGATAATAATTTTGAGTGTTCTTCCAAATGTTTTGGGAACAATTTTGCAGCGATCAATTTTTGGTTTCCTATAATTTAACATTACTCGATCAATCAGAAGAACGATAGATGGCCTTAGCCTAAGACTTAAATGACGTGATTTCGTTTGACGCTTCCTTGCAAGCAATTAAGTTTTCATAAGAAACAACCTCACAGATCTATTAAGTTTTTCAATAAAAATTTATTTACGATATCATACCGTCCAGCTGAGACCGGCCCACTCTCCGAATTTCTTTTTTTAAAATGTCTGTTGCCTTAACGTCAATTTTAGAAACTAAATGGGATAGCTTTATTTTTTATAGGTCCAGACTTTAAAAAATGGATCGTGAGCTTTCTAAACCGGTTCGGTTTGCACATATGTTTTAAATCTTAAACAATCATGTCCCAATTTTAAGAAATCTTTAATGCCGTGTTCTGGTTCGTCTTTTTTATAAACAGTCGTCTGTTTAGCTGTCCATATATCTTCCTCTAAACACCCTTAGATTTACTTGAAAGATAATTAATATATCAATAACAAATAATAATATTTGACCTTATTTTAAAAAAAACCTAGAAAAGGGTATATTTAAATCATCCTGAAATTTAATTAGATATTTATTTAGTCCCTTATAAAAAAAATCAGATGGATAGTTTCTTGTTTATCTTTCGATTTGCTTCTTTTTTTCTTCTTTTTCTTACGAATTGCCATTCAAATTAACTTCAAAAAAAAATGTATAAAATATATTCTAATCGTAATAATAATTGCTTGCGGATAAAAAAAAAGAGAGAAAGAAGTTATTGATTTTATATTTAGTTATTTATTAGACAAAGTATTGTATACATAACATTACTTAAAGTATTATTTACGTAGTAGTGCAAAAATCACTCCATTTGAGCCGATTTTTAGTTAACGTCTAACTCAGTATTTTATTCAGAAAAATTTGACGTAAACCTGGAGGGTAAGTGGAAAATAATTCACTTCAAAAAAAAACCCCAATAATAATTCTTAGAAAATAATTCTTCGGAATTGATTTTCTTAAAATTTTTAAATATTTTATATGAGGATTTTTATTTCGTGGATATATTTATAAGGAATTATTTCTCTTATTTTATTAATTTTGTAATTTTTAATATCTTAAAAAGCTGGGATTTTTTAATTATTTTCCTAGATTCAGCCTGGAGATTTTGTTCATAGACTGGCAAAGGTTTGGACATCTATTAGCGAAATCTGAGGCGTTGGCAATACTTTTATGGCTAAAATCTTGAGTTAGCCGGTTTTAAAAATCGGCTTAAATGGTACGATTTTGCATCGCTACATATTATATATAGCATTGATCTTATGTATAATATTAATTTATTTTATGCCTCTTAATTTTTTTTTATGATCTATTGTTGATTTTTTTAAAAAAGAATTTAAAAAAACGCACAAAATTATTTGACTCCTTTGTGGTCTGGAAGAAAAAATATCAGAGGGACGGGAGCGAACTAGCAACTTAGATATATATTTTTTTTAAATAATCAGTGATACATACTTTTTGATAACGCTATCTTAAAAAAAAATTAGATGGCGGCAAACTCTAATCTATTATTTAATCAACCTAGCACTACCTCCCTTTATTCTACTGTGTAGCTAGTTGAACTAGCCCTCCCCCCCCCCCCCCGAAATTTACTATTTATAAATTTCTATTTTTAAACAGTGAAGGGTGAAAACGAATATTAGATCACGTGTTCTATCCATTTTATACTATGAGATTATTTCATTTCTTCGTCAATATGAAATATTTATTAATTTACTCTCAAATCGATAATTTTAATGAAATTATAATAATTGTTTGAAAGTTAGATCCATAGTATTTCTTTCGTGGTTTGCAAAGTTTCTTCATAATTCTAAGATAAAGATCTTGATTGATAAAATCAATAACTACCAAAAGCCAATCATCATGCTTTATTATTTTGTGATATTTGTTTTGTAACGAATCGAACCGATTTATTATTTTAGCAAGTTTAATTTACTTTTATTTTTTTTTAAAAAAAATCAATAAATTAATATGCAGTTTAATTAATTGATTTAGAATTATTATTATTTTTTAAAAACCATGGTGATTATAATAAAATTTTAAAATTCGACACGCGATGTTATCTGAACTTCCTTGAAATCCCATCTTAGCGTTTAAACATTTATCACCATTATCGAATCAAAAATTGCCTATTCTCGCTGCTTCATTGAGGCCTTAACCAATTAAGATATGAATGAATTTTTAAGCTATGCTTTAATGAACATTACTCATTATGAGTTATGACTTGTCCCGATATTAATTTTTTTTAACCTCTTATAAGTAATATTGGGAAAGTAATTTTGGGGTTGGGGGGGGGGGGGTGTTAATAATAAAAAATAGGATAGAATATCATCTAATTTAGATTTATAAATATCAATTTTTTAAATAATAACTTCGGATATTTATTTTAATTTTTTATATTAGACCTATAACGTTTATCAATCTCAACCCACTTCCGCTCAATACTGGAATCCAGTTGATTCCGCCGATACTTACATGCCCGAAATGGTCAAGACAAAGCCACACAGTGGGTTACCTTCATCTTACTATTACAAACCCAACCCTCTTCTTCTGAGTGGTCATCCCCCCTTGAAGCCTTCACCCTCTACAACACAATTATCTTCTTTCTATAATAACAATAACAACTCTGCGCCTCAATACTACACAGAACCCTACAACTATGCTCCGGCGTATGGTTCTTCAGGTCCTTTGCCTTACACTCCACCATCTTCTTCATTCGATCATCGTAGCGCCTATCCGCCCCCTCGACAAGAGACTCCTTATGACTATTACAACAACAACCACTTGCAACATGTCGTGCAGAACCAATCTCAACGCCTCAATAATCCCGGAGGTACAGGTCTCGCCCTTAAACCAGAGAAGCAGCGCCCTCCTGTCCTTACCCCACACACAGGAAACGCCAGCAAAGAGGAAAAAGCCGCGGCTCGTAAACTATACAGACAAAATCTGAAGGCCTTGAAAGGAAACGCTGCAACTGCATCTTGTTCCCCACTCGATCCCGCCCGCAAACGTAAACAAGACCCCTCCGACCAGTCTCAGCCAACTAAAAAGAGAAAAAATAACAAACAGACTCCAGCTAACAAATCCGATCCATCTCACTTATCCAAAGCTTCCTCCGCATCGCTCAACAACGGTTGTGGTGGTTTACTCCATTCCATGCTTGACCACCCTCCACTAACTTCCTCTTTCACTTCAACACATCATGTCGAAAACGATCTCTATCCTGCCCGCCGAAACCCCAGATTCGATGATTCCTTCAACAACGCACAAAATAATGGTAACACCGGTAACAATATCCAAGCGTTCCTCGACACTTATCAGATCACAGAGGATTGTATAAATGAGGACGCCTTCCAGGACATTCTGCTCGGAACAGGTGGAGATGAACCTTCTGGACTAGGACCCTATCCCCTTGATCCCTCGTCCGCAGGCTTTATCAATAATGGCATAACGGCTAGATCATATCTCTCTGCTGCGGGTAGCGATAGACGTGCTCCATCTTATTATGATAGCAAGCGCCCATCTTCGCTCCTTGAGGAGCCACCAGAAGAGAATCACTTGGTAAAGATGAACAGGCTGGTCAACGCCGATGATAATGTGGATATGCGACCTCGTCAGATTCTCAATACCTCTACCACCAACTCTGCTACCAAAGGTCCAGCCAAAAAGACTAACGCAGGTCGTAAACGCCTTAACTCTAAATCCTTGTCTTCCTCCATCGTTAATGGTGATTCCTATGATCCCTCAAGGCACAACATCATTACTAAAATGAAAGATTCCGAAGAAAATACCGAATATGTAGAAAACAAATTCAATCCCTACAACATTGGATGCGGCGATACTACGAATCGATATCGCGCTCCTTTCGATTTCGAGAGGCCCACCCAGCACCAAGATTCCATACGATTTTATCCACAGCCGCATATGATGCAGCGAAATCTGAAACCTAACAATCTTAAGATTACGGTCGGTTACCCACCACCTTTTACTAACAATAGGGCTCAAGTTTATTTTGACCAAAATCCTACTGTCAACAATCCCCCGTTCCCCGTCATCAACAATAATGTAAGACAACAAGATCCTTACGCCTTTGCTTCAGGCCATCACCAAGGTAATCCATACATTCATGCAGATTATAGGCAACCTCACCCCTTCGATAACACGGAGTCCCCATCCGTTCAATCACACAATAATAAAGATGCTTCCCAGAACAATTACGGGCATAACAATAACTTTCACGGCGGTCACGTTCATCCCAACCATCCAGCTATTAATAATAAGGAGTGGCTTAATTACGGCCACAACAACTTTAATGCTCTTAACAATAGTAACATGAATATGCCCGCGCCCGGGAGTTTAAATAACTACAATCTCTCTTCTACTACCTGTATAAACGACAACAAAATGGTTCATCCGAGGGGGGCTCGATTTTTTTTGGACAAAAATTACGAACACGATCCAATCAATAAGAAAAACAACTTGGCCTCTTCGAACGTGAATCAACACCAATTTTACAACACCTTGCCGCACCACCCTTCCCCACCTTTGTTGGCCAATAACCCAGCGCCAGCTTTTACTCAACACCAACAAAATTCTCCGTATGCCAATCCTGGCCATTTGCACATCCCTTCTAGCCTTCCTAAGACCACTACCATTTACGTAACTGTTGAACCGCACAAATGGAACGCGAACTACAATAGAAACTCTAATAGTTTTATGGGTTCTTCTGGCAACAATAAAATGTACCAACCTCCCAATTTCGTGCCTCATCCAGCCGATGACAATATAATCAAGCCCAATAATCTTGGAACACCTATAGATCATATGCACATTAAAATGAGTTCTATACCTCCCTTGGACCAACAGATTTCAAGTATTAAAGAGGGGGGGTCAATGACGAAAAATTTTCAAGAGAACGTCTGCTTGACAGGTGCACTCAATGCTTCAGCCCTCAAACAACCATCCCGACCCTACAATTTACTCGAAAACTCTCTTTTCCCAGGAAACGTTGTTAATGTGAACGTTAGTTGTGCCACTCCTAACCTTATCCTTCACAAAGATCAGCCGGCGCCTCCGTTCAATATCCCCTCTCTGGTAGACGATCTAGACTCCCTTCTAGGTTCTTCTTCAAACAACGAAACCGAACATGCCGGAAGTCTGTTGGAGCATTCCTCCGGAATCGCGTCGTGCTCTTCTTCCCTTTCCAGCACGAGCACTAACGCAACCACAGAAGATTTGCTTCAACAACAGCTCATACATGAGCGATGTATTCTCCACGAATTCGCGGCTACCGCTGATTTCTTTAGCGCATAAATGGGGTGGAAACGCCGTCAATTTTACATCTACTTAAAAAAGAAAGATGTGGTGTTCTTTTATAAAACTTAGGCCTCAGCCATAACATATTATAATACTCTCTATCTTTAGTGATTTTTCTGTATCTTGGTATAGAGATGATATAATATATGACTTTAACGTCTTTATAATAGCGTTTGACGAATATGCAATCAATCGGTATATTAGTTTACCTCGATCAATTTTTATACAAGGATTTCTAACCACACTTCATGCGTCCTAACCATTTTAAGGATGTCGGTTAACTCCTCTAAGTGCTCAAAGCATTTGTCGACCATTTATCTCCCAATTTAATAAAAATCTCAGATCATTACACGATTTCGATTGGTGTATTATACATGTAAGTTAACTTGCGCGTGCTCAAGCCTACCAATCTGACTCAAACAACACACTAATATATCCCCAGCATTTCATTATTATTAAATCTACACTTTAAACTTATTGTTTTATGTTTTTATTTATAAATAATCAATATTTTTTATTTTCTTTCAATATTTAAGGGGGGGGGGAATTATTGCTAAGAGGGAATAATATGTAATGAAAGAATTCTTAGATTATAGATACGCAAATATCTATTTTCTTTAATTTTTGAATACATTAAAAATCAAGTATATCAAATTGATAATATATAAAAAATAATTATATTTTATTTTGATAACGGTTTTACATGTATTAATAAATTTATTTATTCTTCCTTATTTTTATAACAAATAAAAATATTTAAATAATCAATAATTTATTAGATCAATAATTTCACGATAGAAATTAACCAAATGTTTAGCATACTTATTTAATTAAATTTCTTGATCAACTTCGTATTAAACGCCTTCAAAAATAATGGAAAAATCTATAGTTCGATATTGGTTATAAAGGATCAATTTAAAATGTACTTTAACATGGAGGACATCATGTCCAAGCGATTTTGTCATTTCGCATATTTTAAAAATTGAATTATATGTGGAGAATTTATTATGTAGATAATTCATTATAAAATCTGACTATATTGTTTTATAAATAATTTTGCTTTTTATTCCAGTATAATATTTATCTTATTTTCCCTGCATATTTATTTATATTCTAAATTCATTATATAACACACTATAATTTATTTAGTTTAAATTTAAATACATTTTTTTTAAAGGTAATTTATAAAATTGTATTATATTTTTTTTTACATAATATTTATTTAAATCAATTATTTCTAATTTTTAGATATTATATTATAATAAATTTTTAAACAATAATATTTAAATTTTGCAGCATTAAATTTTCTCTTCAAAATATGAACAATAAAAGAAATGACCAATAATAATATTATTATTTTTTTATACACATTACAATTATAAAATATTAAATATAACCCTTTTTATACCTATAAAGATTTTTTTCAATCAACATAAATTCATTTTGTACATATATTTAAATTATCAATTGAAACATTGGTCTTAAAAACTAGATTGTATATTTATTTTTATTTGTTCATTATATAAAGATAAATAACATCGAATTATGTTATATTTCTCAATTTTTTTTTAAACCTTTAATTTCTAAATAATTGATATCTTTTTATTATATTAATTATGAATGTGAGGAAAACTATGATATACTATATGAACAATAAATAATAAAACAAATTTAAAAAAATATATATTAAATACAGGGATGGGATAAAAATTTCTCTGGAGGCTGTAAATTTTTAAAAATAAATTTGTTGTTTAAAATATTAATGGGCCAATATTATCTACTTTGTAGAATATTTTAACGGGGGGATGGGAGCGATACCCGCTGTCCCAGTGAAGCCGGCCCCTATGGGTTATGCTTAACCAAATTGAACATCCATAGTTTGGGTTCGGGGTTTTAAAATTCGAAACGGAATGTTCTGGACACGTTTCATAAACAGAACTTGGAGTATGTAACGGGAAAGTTCTCGGATCAAATAAGAATATTAAAAATTTAATTATATAACAATTCATCAAATATATTTTTTTTTCAATATCGTTATTTCTTTTATAATCTGGCTACTAGTATGCCATCTACTTTTCATAAAAATTATATTTTTTCTGTTTTAAATATATAAGATTAGAAATACATGATCTCCATAATTACGATAGTAAATAACCTAAACTTGACCAAATTTTATATTAAGATATTTCTTTATTTTATTAGGTAAGGCATTCATTCAACTATGTATATATATAAAATAAATATTTAACAATAATCATATAGGTTTGCATCAAATATTAAAAACAATAGTTCTTATAAAATCAGAGAAGTCTCGCACTCTATCACGATGTTCCTCGCAAATTTTTTTTAGACGAATTTAGATAACTCGCTTTTATATTGAGTTTTGATCAACGCGCGTTCGTTCGAGTTTTATTATTGCCAACTAGATTAGTAAAACGGTCACAAGTATGTTATTCATCTGATAATTCTGATTCGCGTTTCAGGTTTCTGGTAGAAATCGAGGCTCAATTGATCTATCTGGGACTGATAATTACCACTAGCGACCTCTCTTGATACTCCATTGGCATTATTTTTATCAAAATAATCGAGAATATCATTTTTATTTTTAGGACTAACTGATCTTAAGAATGTCATGGCATTGGCCATATCTCATAATGAAACAAGGGCTAAGTAGTGTTGTAAACGAACGCGTTAATTTTGAACGGGTTTGTTTTTTGAAAAAAATGATGAACGCGTTCCTTTTATTTTTGACGAACTTTGAACGTAAACGCGTTCCTTTTTTGACGAACGCATTCGAATTTAACGTTAGTTCAATTTTAAAAACAGTTTATTTATTTGAAAAATTTAAAATTACTCTAAATTTTTTAAGAAAAAAGTCATATATTTTTTAATCAGCTGATATCCCTTTTTCACATTTTAATTTTTTTTAACACTAGTTATTAATTTGAATATTATTGTTTATATTATAATTTAATAGATAAGCATAATGAATATTATTATTTCATCATCATCTGACTTAAAATTCAAAATTAGATGAATTACCATGGCCCCAAATATGATAAATATTTTACAGTAACATCCTATATTGAATTAGCTAATTCAATTACCAAATATGTAAAATATGCCCAAAGTATTATATCAGTTTTCAGGTTCCAATTTAAAACGACATATGATTGTAATATTAATTTATAACATAATACAACTAATTATAATCATTAAATTTGAAGAAAAATGCATTTAGGCTATTTGATTCCAAACAATAACGCTAGTTATTTTAAAAAGACGCTTTTAAATCGGATTAATAAAAGGTATTAAACCTATCACTATCAAATTATATATGTTTTTTTTAGTTATGTTCTTTCTGCAATTATATATCCAGTATCAAATTTCAATGGCCATGAATAAAACTTCCACAGGCGAACCTAATAAACTTATATCGTTATTGAAAACCCTAGAAATGATAATGCAAGAACTGTTAATTTCTAGATATTCTTGTTTTTTGACGAGGAAGTAGAGGATGGATCGGAGGAGGATAACTTTTCTCAATTTTTTGAAGCAAAGTACAACACAATAAATGTTTTTATTAATTCCCTGCTTTAAAAGATTTTTTATTAAATATAATACCGCGATCCCCTCATCTGTCCTTGTTTGCACGTTTTTAGTATAGCTAATGTATCATCTGCCAAGCGTTCCTGTCTATCAGATGAAAATTTTGAAAAACAATTGTTATTAAATTTTTTATAAATAAAAATATCCTTTTATTTCCTATATTATATTGTATTTATAATTTTATTATCAAAATAAAATTATATTATTTTTAACATGGCTAAAAGACCTAATCAATGCTCTAAATATAGAATTAATTAAACACACTAAAAATACACAAATAATTTTTTTATTAATAATTTTAAACAAAAACAATTAAAGAAATCTTAATATAGCAAAAAGTAACATCTCCCCATTATAAATCCACCTTAACATCCCAACCTTAAAATTGAATTTAGTTGGCATTACAAATTGAAGCAATTTATAAATTCACCTTAGCATCATCCATCAAGATGGTTACAGCACATTATTATATCTTCAAGCATTTATGACATTTGACACTCTTTTTAAAGAGAAACAATAGAGATATAAAGTAACATCTTCTACAGCAACCACAAATTCACCTTAACATCATCATTATGTCACCCAACCTCATAAAATTGAATCCAGCAATATAACAGAAAAATTACCATATTCATGGACAGTTCATAAATGGCTTTAAAAATAAGTATTAATTTCTATTCCCCTGTATAATCATCTTGACCAATTAAAACAAAATATTCTGGAAGAATTGGCAAATTTTTCATGAAAGTTAAAAATCAAATTATAATTACCAATATAATGTGACCTCATATTCTCTAAGTAGAAAACAACAGACTAAATAGATAATACCAACTAACAAAACCTATTTGACTATTCATCTATTATATCAATGACCAATTGAAATAACCTTAATCAAGCAACTCCATCTTTTTTTATACACATCAGAAGTAACATCTCCCCAATTATAAATCCACCTTACAATCCCAACCTTAAAATTGAATTTAGTTGGCATTACAAACTGAAGCAATTTATAAATTCACCTTAGCATCATCCATCAAGATGGTTACAGCACATTATTATATCTTCAAGCATTTATGACATTTGACACTCTTTTTAAAGAGAAACAATAGAGATATAAAGTAACATCTTCTACAGCAACCACAAATTCACCTCAACATCATCATTATGTCACCCAACCTCATAAAATTGAATCCAGCAATATAACAGAATGTTTTAAAGGAAAACTAATTGGAATCTTAACAACAATTATGTACCAACAATAAATCCGGTCCATTTTCTCTATTAAATCAAACATGTCTATTCTTCAAGAGGATTCAATTCCAAAGAAAGGGATAATTTAACTTCAAACATTAATATTCAAAAGTCTTCTCAATCCACCCAATTTAGACTCAAAGATTGCCTCCCTTTTTTTTCACCAGAAGTTATCTTACTTTCTTCTTTTTTTTTCAATACTTATTTTTAAAACATATTAAACAACTTGTTTTTAAAAATAACTTTTAATCTTCAATTAGTTCAACACTTATAACATATCAATAAATTTACATATAGACTTTTTAATATTTAGCATTATAACCAATTTAACACTTATTTTATACATTCACGAATTTCCATGATTCATCTTATAACATTTAAATATTCAATAAATTCACATATTTTTTTAAACAACATTTAGCTTTCAATTAATTTAACACTTATATATATATTTATTCTTTCTTTCATTCACAACTATAACCACATATTCTCTTTTTACATGCACATTTTTTCTTTGTACACATTTATTCCTCACAATTGAACCAAATTAATTTTTTTTTTCATTTTACTTTTTCATTTATATACTCTTCAAGACTCAAATTCTCTCACATTCCTTTTTATATCCCCATTAATACAAAATAATATTTCTTCTCCCTTTCATAAACATACCCAAAATAATTTTTTTTTCTTTTCTCCCCTTTTATATATTGTTTCTTTTTAACAACATTCAACATTTCAACTAATTTAACATTTACATATATATATATCTTTTTATTCTTTCATAATCACAACTCTCTTTTTACATGCATAATATTTTTTTTTTATTTGTACACATTTATTCCTCACAATTGAACCAAATCTTTTCTTTTTTTTTTACTTTCTTATATATATATTCTTCAAGACTCAAATTATCTTACGTTCCTTGTAATATCCCCATTAATACAACATAATTTTTCTTTTCCATTTCATAAACATACCCTAAATAATTATCTTTTTTTCTCCCTTTTATATATGTTCCTCAGTCTTTCAATCTTTTATTTACTTTAACCATTACATTTATTAAAACAAATAACCAACCTCTATCAAACACCAACCAATCCCAACAACCTTTATGCCCATTCTTTCCTCTCATATTTAATAACCTTATCTTTACAACATCATTATTCTCTGCAGATTATTTCTTCCTAGTCTCTGTCACATCCCCATTCTCAACACAATTATTCACAACCTTTCTTTATCCACACAATGGAACGCTGCCCCACGTGTTCCAAAAACATAAAAATCACCAAATCCGGCCTTTTCACCAAGCACAAATCCAAAGGCAGTGCTTGTCCTGAGTCTGGAAAGCGTCCTTCCCCTCCCTTCTAAAATCCCCTCTCCATTTTTTTTACTCACAGTTATACTTCCACCTCATCCAATAACGCCCACATACCAACCACATCAGACACATTCATTTCCCTCCCACCTACCACTTACGTCGACATCATTAACTTTCTAAAATCCGACAAACCTCCCATTATTTCTAGAATTCCCAAAGGCTCTAGAATACAAGTAGCCAAAGCTCTCTCTACCTGTCTTCATTCACTATTAAATAACTTTTCCTCTCTAGATCATTGGCTCAAACTTTTTTCATTTTCTTTCACGACTCTCCAACCTCCCAATCCTGAGATTCACAAATCTTTAACCCAACAAATTAAAGACGCAACCATACACCCCCTCACCCTCACATCCACCTTTTCTCCTCATAATTCTAAAAAACTTTCCAGCCTCCAATTAAAGGCTAA